AGCCGCTGCTGAAACTGACCAGCGCTGACTACAGGAAGCCCGAGGCAGAGTTACTCTGCCCCGGGCTTCCTGGAATCAGCTGCTGATCAGTTTCAGCAGCAGCTGACTTGGGGACGCCTGGGGTTCTTAAGTTGATTCTGTATGTAAGTCAGAACTGGCGGTCAGTTTCAGCAGCGGCTGAATCTGGACGCCAGTTCCGACTTACATACAGATTCAACTTAAGAACAAACCTACAGTCCCTATTTTGTACGTAACCCGGGGACTGCCTGTATATCACAGGGGCCTTTTCCTTTTAGGGTTAAAAATGCCAAAAAGTGGGCAAATTTCATACACCCAGGTATACTCTCTGCTGAACTGGCGGTCAGTTTCAGCAGCGGCTGAATCTGGACGCCAGTTCCGACTTACATACAGATTCAACTTAAGAACAAACCTACAGTCCCTATTTTGTACGTAACCCGGGGACTGCCTGTATATCACAGGGGCCTTTTCCTTTTAGGGTTAAAAATGCCAAAAAGTGGGCAAATTTCATACACCCAGGTATACTCTCTGCTATCAGACATATCTTCGTTATCTGAGTCAATCAGCACACAGGCCACAGGTGAGATTATGCTTCCAATTGCTACAGTGTGAAACCAGGACCACTTCCGTAGATGGAATTGCTTTGGGTTTTATGTCAGTATAACAACATTACCAGAATTTAGCTCTATGAGTGCTCTAATGTCTGAGAAGAGCTAGGCTAAGAGGCTGAAGTTATCTTAAATCATAACAGCATTGATTTCACGTGGTTTGCATTTCAGTTTTACTAGTAAATTAACTTAAAAATCCCACTTCTGCTTGAACCTTTTACCTATCATTGCTATAAATAACACTTCAGATACAAGTGCTCAACTCATTTGAATAGGGTTAGTCAGACCTACAGACGAACTCAAAGAAAATACAGAAAATATAGCCCAGTTTGTTTACTTTGGGCATTTGACAGGAGTTCTGTGCAGTCAGTTTCAATGTTTCCTCTATGTAATCAGATAGGTCCCAATCCTATGAATACATGTAACTTTTTTCTTGTCAGTACTTCCATAGAAGGCTTTAGGACTTCTAATGTCAGTAAATTTATGCTCGTGCTTCCATGTTTGCATGATCAGAACCTCAGTTTTCCCTGTTTTTGTGGGGCTTTTGCACACAACATTTTTAAAACAGCACATCCTGGGCAAGTTTAAATGTCAACTCAAATTCGCTTCCAAGGTTCAGTTCCTAAGATGGAATGTCGTAGTGTAGGGATTTAGATTTATTTTTCACAAAAAGAATGAGATGTTAATAGTTAAATGTAAGAGAAATGTTTTTAGTATTTTAAAAGCTGCCAATTTGCTCAATAATGGTAACTTGGCATCTGAACCACAATATTGTATTCCTGCCTGAGAAATAGTAATAGAGATATAGCCGTGTTAGTCTGGTCTTGCTGAAACAAAAGACAGGACTATGCAGCACTTTAAAGACTAACAAGATGGTTTATTAGGTGATGAGCTTTTGTGGGCCAGACCCACTTTCTCAGATCAAATTGTGGAAGAAAATCGGCATGACCATATATACCAAAGGGATACAATAAAAAAAAGTGAACATATAAAATTGACAAATCAGATTTTACCTTGATGCAAATATCCAATGAAAGGGCCCCCTTTTAGCTTTGTGCTACTGAAAGTAGCTGGGCCACAGGGGGTATCTATGCAAAGTTTTGAGTTGTTTTAAATTCAGCTTTAATTTAGCTGGGATTATATATTTTTTTCTTGTGGTTTATAGATTTAGCCTATCAAGACTCTCTAGGCACAAGATTTTTGCCCTGATAGGATCCCTTGCTTACAGGGTCAGATTCTGCTCTCAGTTACACCTGTGGACATTTGGAATAGCTCCTCTGAAATCAGAAGATGTACACTGAAATAACTGAGAAGACAGACTGGTCCCGGGAGATTTCTGTATAAATGTCACTTTTCAGTGGCAAAGAAAGAAACCACATAGATGTGCCCCGATGTGTCTTTTCTATTTTTTAGAAAGCAACGTCAGGAAGATGGACTTGGCAACCAAGATGTAACAGCACAATCTAGAGATTAGACCTTCCGAATAAGCCCAGACATTTGTCACTTAATAGAGAGATCCCTGGACCAGAAGACTGACAAACCAATAGGACAAATATGAGCTGACAACTGAAAGACAGTAGGGACCAATCTATGGCTTACAGAGATCTTGTCAGGCCTGGGGTTTGCCTACAATCTCCTCCAACAAAAGAGCTCCTGAGGGAAGGAGGGGATTAGTGGAAAGCTCAGTGAAGTTTCCAGGGAAGATGGTTTCTTGGATAAAGTCATCAACAGAAGGAATTGTTTGAGACTATTTGTTATAATTTCTAAGGGGGAGCTTCTGCCATTGCTAACAGGATTATCACTACACCGATTCCACACCAGCAGGGCATTAGAAATGTGCCTCGTGGGCGGGCTATTTAGAGCCTAACCCAGAGGTCTTGTAAGGCTGTATCCAAAAGAGATCCAGGTGTTTATGGCGGCAAGCTCAGTGAGGACTTAAGATGGTGAAAAAAGATGGTTTATGGTAAAATTGTTGCACCATGAGTCACAACCCTGTGTGAATCTCCTGGATCTCTAGACGGCTGACAGACTATGAACACAAAAGGTGCTCTCTGGTGTTTCCTGAAGGGAGAAGGTTGGTGGGAGCAGCTCACTCCTACCGCATTTCTTACAGAGATTCTTCCCGGAAGGAATTCCTAACAGTGCTCTGTTTCATCCAATCATCCATCACAACCTTGCACATCTCCTAGTATTTGGGGAAGTCCAGAATCTGTAAGCTTCAGGAGTAAAGCTGGGAGGGAAAGATTCTAAATGTCAGATCATGCAAATCCTATGGCTGTGTCTAGACTGGCCAGTTTTTCCAGAAAATCTGCCGCTTTTCCAGAAAAACTTGCCAGCTGTCTACACTGGCCGCTTGAATTTTTGCAAAAGCACTGACTTCCTACTGTAAGAAATCAGTGCTTTTTGCGGAAATACTATGGTGCTCCCATTCAGGCAAAAGTCCCTTTTGCGCAAAAGGGCCAGTGTAGACAGCTATTTGTTTTCCGCAAAAAAGCCCCGATTGCAAAAATGGTGATCGGGGCTTTTTTGTGGAAAAGCGCGTCTAGATTGGCACGGATGCTTTTCCGCAAAAAGTGCTTTTGTGGAAAAGCGTCCGTGCCAATCTAGACGTTCTTTTCTGAAAACGCTTTTAACGGAAAACTTTTCCATTAAAAGCATTTCCAGAAAATCATGCCAGTCTAGATGAAGCCTAAGTGTGGGAATACATCTTACTTACCTATGCAGTGCCACTGAAGTGAACGGGAGAACTTGTACGAGTAAGGCATATGCTGATGATTACAGAGTGCAGGACTGGATCCTATACCAGTGATGATTTAGGGGAGGGCTGGGAGCCTATGGCCTGTTGCAGGTCAACCTGCTGCTTAATTTCATCATGCCCATGGCAAATTTCTGCACCCTGGGTTGGAAGCCCCAAGCCTTGGTTCTCCCCTGTTGGTCTGGAGCTGTAGGCACTGGCTTGCCCCACTGCATGAGGAAGCCAAGGTTCCACTCAGCTCCTGGAAGTGGGCCACCATGTCCCTGCAGCCCCTAGGCACAGGAGCGAACAGGGAAGCTCTGTGCATTGCTCTCACCCTCAGTGCCATCTCTGAAGCTCCCATTGACCAGGACCTGCAGCCAATAGGACCTGCAGGAGCAGTGCCTATGGGCGAGGGCAGTTCGCACTGAGCAGAACACTTCCCTTCCCTACTAAATCATTTTTTTTTAACAAATACAACCTTTTTCCTTCATTGCAGGACTGTGGCTTTTTGGGCATCTTCTAAAATATTCCTAAACAATTCCAAATCGTCATTCATATTTTTCTAATTAAATTCTTCCTTTTAGCTGATACACCTTACAACTGTTTTTAGCTTTATGAAACTGGCTTGTTTAAAGCACCAACTATATATTCTGCTCATTTGGACTTTATTCTGTTTGCACATTATAAATGTGATTGAAACATGATCACTTATACCTAAGCTACCATTACATTTTAGTTATGCGATCAGTTCCTCTTTATCTGTCAAGAATAGGTCTAATATAGAATTAGTGGTTGCAACACTGAGATAGGATATTGTAATCTATAATATTTAGAATTTCCAGCAATGTTTGAGTATTGGCAGCATGAGACTTACTACACCTCCCAAACTGAAGTCCCCCCATGATCATGCAGCCTGTTTCTCTTAGATATGATTGATAAATGCATAAGGAGGTTGGCCATTCTGTTCCTTCTTATGATTTGGTGGTCGGTAGGACATCCCAAATGTGATCTTTATCCATTAAGACACTAATTAAGATATGAAGAAGAGCTCCATGTAAAATCGAAACCTTGTCTCTCTCACCCACAGAAGTTGGTTCAATAAAAGATACTACCTTACCTGCCTTGTCTTGCTGATCCATAAACATTCAAGATTATTTTCTTCAGCGCTCCCATGACTCGGGAACAGATAAAGTCATTCCATTTTTTATACAGAATGCCACTCTGTCTCTCCTTTTGGTTACTCAATCCTTCCTTCATTTTACCATTCCAACTGCATCACCCACCCCACCAGGTTTCAAATAATACCAACTATATTGAATTTAGGCTCATAAATTCCTAATTCCAGTTATGCTTGTTTTTCACTCAGGCTTCTAGCACTGGGTATACACAATTCAGCAATTTCTTCTCTTCATGCCCTTTGTTTCCTCGATTAATTTTGTTCTCAGGATCTTGATTCTGTACTAAAATCTTTTTACCCTCCCCCCACTTTTGGGGGGGGGAGGATGTGTTAATGCCTTTCTGACTACTCCAGACAGCTAATTAGTTCCCTTTCTATGGAGGTGAAGGCCATCCAAGCCATAGAGCCCTGTCTCCCCACAGAAACCTTCTGCTTTCCTTCGCTCATGGGATGGGAAGGATCTCCGAGAAGATCACTTGGACATCCTTCTTCAGCATGCGTCCCAGGTCCATGAAGCCATCTATTATCTGTGAGCTATTCCGCAATGCAGTGTCATTAGAGCCAATGACAACCATCACCAATGGATCCTTGCCCATCCATTTCAGAAGCCTATCCAGTCTTAGCATGACACCTAATGTCTTGGCTCCAGAAAGACAGCGTGCCGTCCTGTTGCCCACTTCTATGTTCTTCCAAGTCTTATCAGTATTGAACCTCTAACAAGGGTTATCTCTCTTCCTTGTATAGTTGAAGAACGTTTTGTGGGCAAGCTGGCTTTTCTTACAGCTTGATCCAAGCTGCCGTCCACAGAAGTAGGCCCTTCATAATTGTAGTTTCCCATCTATTTCTATGTTAAATTCCAACTTTTAATGTTCTTTGTAGAAGGACTGTGTGTTTTCTAAAGAAAAAAAATCTCCCCAATGAAGAGGTGTCAATTGTCAGATGGTGAAAGCTTCTAACAGGTTCATTTCCAATGTGTATTACGGACCAGTGATAAAGATGTAGCCGTGTTAGTCTGGGGTAGCTGAAGCAAAATGCAGGACAATGTAGCACTTTAAAGACTAACAAGATGGTTTATTAGATGATGAGCTTTCGTGGGCCAGACCCACTTCCTCAGATCAAATAGTGGAAGAAAGTAGTCACAACCATATATACCAAAGGATACAATTACGGACCAGACTGGCTCTCCATTGTCACTGTATAGTCATTTACAAGAGCAAAAGTAGGTGTCCAAAGCTACCAAGTCAGAATGGCAGTGGTTTCTCCTACCTTTGCAGAGGTGTAAATGAGCACACAAGGGGCAGGGCAGTGAAGAGCCAAGGGCTATAAGATCTATTCTGGAATGATTATGGTCTGATGTATCCTCCCAACTACAGGCCATTAAGCACCAAAAGCATGTTAAATGAAAGGACTTGTAGTGAATAGAAAGTGACAGAGCTCTGGAGGCTGGAAGCGCCTCCCTTTCTCAGAGTGGTTTCTCTCAGGACGATGATGACAGATTCCCATGGAAAGCAGTTTTTGCAATTGCAAAGCAGCTGCTTTTCAAAGCTAAATCTCTCTGCCCTTTTACATTCCCATGCCCCATCAAACCCAAATTGCCAAAGGAACACATCCCACCTTGTGGGGGTGGGGAGAGGGGGGTGGAGGAAGATGAAGATCCTGGCAGCAGGAGGTGCTGCCTCTGGGCACTTTTTTCCTATTCCCATGGTGGAAATACACAGGATTTTTAGGTGGGACTTTGGGAGGGAAAAGGCAGGGAAAGGGATGCTCTACACCAGTAGTCCCCAACCTTTAGAGGCTGCCAGGAGCCCAGGAACGGGGCCGCGCATGCACTGGGCACCTGGGGCCCGGGGCACAAAAATGGCTCAGGCCAGCCCTGGTCACTAGGCAGGTGCACATAAATGCCCCAGTGGGCACCATGGCACCCGCGGGCACCACGTTGGGGACCACTGCTCTACACAGCATCGCTGATACCACCTGCAGGCCCCAAAGCCGTAAGGTTTCCTTCCTAAATTACTGAAGACTGAGGAAGCACTAACTTCTGAAGGTTTCCCTTTTGCCATGGGACACCCTCCCTGCTCAAGGCCAACCCAGACATGATTTTTGGGGCAACAGCTAGCCAGGGAACACCATGCCGGGAGTTGTATCGCCAGGAGGGCTGGGTAGGAGATGCTACACAGGAACAGAGAGGCATGTGCCTCTAGCACAGGAGTGGGCAAATATCTGTCCACAGGCTGGATCCAATCCACTGGGAATAGCCCCTGGCAGGCCCCCACACCACCATGTTTACCTGCACCTTGGCCATGGATCGCCCTTTCTGGCCAATGGGAGCTGCGATCACCCGTACCTGTGGATATGCACGTAAATTAAGCGGCAGCAGCCCACCTGGAGCTAATCCTGGTGAACCGCGCCGATTTATAGCCCACCCCTGATCTAGCAGATCACCTAAAGTCCAGGCGAAGTGTGAGGCACCTTGCAAATTCTGTGAGCTACACTTACACTGACCATCCATCCCAATCTTTCTGGGACAGTCCTGATTTGTAATGTTCTGTCCCAATGTCCTGCGCAGCACGGAAATGTCCCAGAAAAGAAAGCCCCGGGACTCCAAACGCAGCTGGAAGCTGATGCCCGCTGCTAATTCCACTCCCCCTCCATTGGATGGGGGAACAGGAGCCTGGTGGGACACTTTCTGAAGCCTTTCCCTGTTGCTGGGAATCCAGCTAATAGGAGCAGGGGGAGGCATTTCCTGGTGGAGCTGCAAAAGCAAGTAAGCAGCTGCGATGAGGGGAACAGGCCGGTCCAACAGTGTGTGGGGCCAGAGCAGCGTGGCTGAGCTGGGTGGGCGGGGCCGGGAGCAGGGCGGCGCGGGGCCCTGAATGAATAGCCGGGTGGGAGGGGCCCTGAATGAGCGGCCGGGTGGGCGGAGCAGGGCAGCGCGGGGCCTGGAATGAGCGGCCGGGTGGGCGGGGCAGCGAGCAGGGCCCTGAATGCACAGGGCTCAAGGCAACCACCTTGCTCCCCTTGCCCAAGGGCAGGTCTGGAGGGGAAAGCAGGGAACCATCTCGCTGGTCAGCTGAGTGGCGCAGGAGGGGACTGCGGGGGTGTGAGGTCCAGCTGAGTTGCGGGGCGGGGGGAGGGGAACCAGCACTGTGCTTCAGGCACAGAACCGACTGGCTGGAGGGGAGGTGCAGGGAACCGATGCGCCGCTCGGCTGGGCTTCAGGGAGTCAGGAAGCCCAGTGGGGAGTGTGGCAACAGGGAGCCTGGAAGGACTCCTCTGGTCTGGAAAAATCCCTCATCCGGGACGAGGCAGGTACCAAGGGTGCCAGACCAGAGAGGTCCAATCCCTACCCCAAATCCCCTCCTGCACCTTCCCTCCTGGCTAG